TGCTGCAGTATTTTTTGACATTTCAGAAATGTATCATTATTTGAGCAATTATATTTTATACTTCTACATATATACAGTAACTCATTAGACAGATGTTCAGTTTGCCACAGATTTGACAGATTTCAGAATTATAAAAATATGTTTTTAAGAAAAAACTGAAAAATAAAGCTGTATGTAACTATTAATTCATTGCAAGTCATTTCCGACAACAAATATGACGCCCCGAGATAATGAAGCTTTAAGTTGTGTGCGAAAATAGATATGTAAATGATACTGTATAACAAAATAATGCAAAAATCTTATAGTTCTTTACCATAATCTGATAACCTCATTAACTTAAATATTGAACCAGTAACAGGTGAGGGTAGATTTTTGAGTTTCTGTCGCATAACATAATGATGATGCACTTTTGGTAGAAATGCGAAAATTACAACGATGCAAAGAGTACATAGTGTCAAAAAAATTAAATCCATTGTCGTAATCTGCGAACACTTCAAATAAATAGTTTATCAAACAAATTCATACATTAGATTTGCTAAAGTGAGATATTAATATTACTACATTAATATTATTATGAAATTATATTAATATTATTAAAAAGTTGTAGTATCCCAATACTAATACTTATTATGTAAATATATTTTCAAAAATACATTTTCAAAATATTTGAGAAAATATTTCCGAAATATACCTTATTTCTCAAAGATACCTTCAATTATGATAAAGACGATGACACATGTATCAGAAAATATATTTCATGTCAACAAATCTTTTATCTTATATTTATTCTGTTTTGCTTTGTATTTTCATTGAACTTTTTATAAATCTACAATAAACGTACCCAGACAACATCGAAAGTTTTCAGAAATATCTCAGAAATATTTTAACTGAAAAGTGAAACATTTCATAAAAATTGTAAAATATGTCTGCAACATTTCTGAGACAGCTCTGGAATAGTAAAAAGTCCACAATTCTTGCACATGAAACCTTGTTGTAAGGTTGATGAAATATCAGAAGGGGAATCTGTAATCTTTTTGAAATATTATCAAAAAGATTTCAGCTATTTCTATATAGTACTAGAGAATGATATTTAAATATACTTGATAGATACTTAAATATTATTTAAATTTATTATGTCGACATAATAAATTTTAATATTGTTATCAATTTTAAACATATATTATAATAAATCATTTCTAAAGTACTTAAAATTTATTAAAACTTTTGTGATCTGTTTACAGATTGCAAAACTTTGAAATAAACTTAAAATTTCTTAAAAATAATTATTAAATAATTATCGCCAACTATTTTGATTAATTAATCACATTATATGTATAAAAGCACATATACATAATCACTACTAAAAAATAATACTAGTTTCTACACAATTATTATTTATATACAAAAGTTTTTCGCAATTAAGAATATTTTATATTTTCAAAATGACAATAAAATAATAAAAAAAATTAGATTATTCTAAATCACGTTTCAAAATAGTATGACAAATTTGATAATGATTTACTGTCTGAATCATAAGTTATTTGAATAAATATCATTTTTTAATCTTCAATAAAAATATATGAAAATATATTATAAAATGATAAAAATTTTTTAATAAAAGTACATTATATATTCAAGATTATTTGCGTAGAATTACTTTGCAATACATGAATTAGTTATCTAGTAAATAAATAAAACATTTATTCTTTGTAACTAATCAGTAAATCTCAATGTAATGTAAATGTAAATTTTTAAATAACTTTTTAAATTTCCATTTTTAACAATAAAAATAATAACAAATAAAATATATAAACTGTGCAGATGTGTTATAGAACAAAAATATAATATTATTCATACAACTTTCATATGTATATAATTTATTTAAAGTGTAAATATTAAATACTTCCAAATTTAATTTTTTTTGCAGGGATTGTACGTCTAATACATATTTACGTATACTTTTCTTAAAATAGAACAAGTCACATTAACATCAAAATAACTTTAAATTGAATCGTAATTGATTAAAAAAATGACTTTTAGTAAACATTTTGGATTTTAAATTTATGATACTTTTTTGATCTGTTTAAATATGTTTTTCAATTTATTGCATATAGGCCAGCTAGAAGTTTAAAAAAAAAAGAAATTATTTAGAGGTACTTTATTGCTTTAATCGACAGTTTGAAGTATAAAAAAAGACTAAATTTAAAAGTGCTAGAACATTAAGGGAACATTAACTTGGAAGTAATTAAGCAACAAAGTTTCTTTTTTAGTTTTTCGATTAAAAGAAAACGAAAAGAGATATTGAAAAATGACAAGAGAGCTTTTTGTTGCTACTGAAATTTTCTACAAAATAAAATGAATTTAGAAAATTATCATTTTAACGATTATTTGTTCTACTATTTGTCTCTTTCCAATAATAAATTTAATTTGAATATTGAGAGATATTTTTGAACAATTTGTGCATCTTGAACAGCACTTATTCCTTTCAAGCCCTTTTATTTCTGTTATTATTTTTAACAATATTTTCGTAACAATAAAATTTTTCTAATATGATAGATTTTAGAAACTTCTGTTAAAATGTTTCATATTACATATTGCAGAATCTTTTCAAAACTGTTGCACATGAGATATGAATGTTTTAAACATTTCTAAAAATTTTCCATACTAATCAGTTATATAAGGGAAATGTAGCATTGATTATATTATAATTATATGCGTTATATGTAAATTGAAAATTCTAACAAATTTTGAGTTAATACCAGTTACAAAAATTATTTATCAGACTTAGCTTCGATTTTTTATATATACTTATAATTTTTTAAAAATGTTTTTTGTGTTACATATATAGAAGCACATAAATTCGTAGTAAATGGAATGGAATTCTATTCCTCCTGAGCAAACACAAATTATTCACTTACACAACTTATTCATAAACACAACTCATTTAAAGTTAGTTTAAATAAATCCACTAATGTTTTTTTACTCAATTTAGTAAAATGTTTATATATATATATAAAAAATATTTAAAATATATGAACTTTCAGTACTTATCGTTTTTTAAATAAATATTACTGCAATACTGAAATTTCTTATCAATACCGTTAACATTCGATTTAAATATTGTATCCTTGATATTTACTACACATAATTAATCCTTTGCGATTTAAATTTAAATCATATTTTGAATAATGTAATACCATAAGATATGCAACAGAATAATGCTCCTATAAATTCTGTAACAAAGAACAATTACAAAAACTTCTGTTCCTCTTGAATCTAGATCACTGAATGAGACTGCATGTAATCTGATATTTCGATATCCCTTCTCTACCACACTCTCGCTGTAAAACTCATGCAACGATTGGATAACTGAACTCGAACATTTGAGTTCCTCAGTATTTCGAACATTTGGAAAAATATTGTACCGTAAACCGTACTTTTATAACGACGAAATAGAACAGAGGCAACAATTTGAATTTAATAATTCATCGCGATGCTTAAGATGCTAACTGAATAAAAGCTATTCTTTTTGTGTTACAATTAGATAATATAAAGGAATATTTTCCATCTTCTTACGTTATAGAATATAATGTACACATTATAATTCATTTTTGCGATTACAGTTATCTCAATCATCTTCATCACGTTTAATTACGTAATTACATAATAGATTTTTGCTAAATCGGTTCTGTCAATATTACGTAAATATTCTTGAAGCTTCCGGATGTTTTCACGGATTTTTCACGGATGTTTTCTATATAAAGATTATGCGTTTCGCGGATTTTCTCCGTGTCCAGATCCATTTTTGGAATGCCAATGTTTCGTGAATCTTGCAGTCCATCTCAAAATTTCCGCAAGTAAGTTAGTAAATATTTTATTTTTCCTTCTTTTGCATTGTTCGCATTCACAATTCGTGTATTATGAATAGTAATTAATTTGTCAATGTATGATGATAATATATGGTATTCTGATTATAAAAATTCTCGTTGCATTTGTTTTTGAGAGAAACCATTACACCATCATGCAGTCGTATTCGCTTTCTCTTTTTCTCGCTTTTTTTGAAGGTACGTTAACGTCAGTCTCTTTTGATAAATTTGTTTCATTAATATACATATTCATATATATATTTAAATATAATATGTATATTAATGAAACGATAAATTCATTTTATTAA